TTTCTAATTACAATCCGGTGGGGGAAGGGGGTCTCAAGCTCCCTGTGAAGTGGGCACCTCCCAAGGAATGACACTGACCCCCCACCCCACCCCTGGGTCCTGATTCAAGGGTAGCTTTGCCCGCTCCGAGACCAGCCCTCTTCTGGATAAGCGCCTGCTCCTTCGTCCACGGCTGCTTGGGGCTCAGGTGCCCTGTCCTTTCTTCTGGGCCTCAGGCAGGTTCTTTGCTTATTCCTGAAGTTCCACCACTGATTTGGAATCCTTTGTGCATTCGAGGGGTGCGATTAGATTTGGTTTTATCCCTCGGCTGCATGAAGACAGCATCCTGAGGAAGCTGCAGCGGAGAAAGGAGCCTCCCCTGTCATCAGATCTAACAGCACAGCTGAGGAGAATACCAGGATCCCACCGCCCATGGCTAGATCCCACCCGGGGGCTGCTCCTGTCAGTGAGAGGAGCATCTTGCATTTCTACCTCTGGGCTGAGAGAGCTTTCTGCAGGATTAGAGAAGACACCGCACATTGGCCTGCACATTCAGTGACATGACCCAGGTGCCAGGTACCATGAGTCCCAGCGTAGGACGCATTAGCAGAGGGGTTTGTGTGCCGGGAAAGACACATTCCCCTGTGACACCCCCAGATCCAGGCTGGCCTCCCCTCACCTGAGGGCTGTCTCCCCCACTTAAAAGCAGCTCTTGGGTAAAGATGTGCAGGGAGAAGAAAGAGGACGCCTGCCAGGGTGCTGAACAGGGAGGGTGGGATCTGCTTGAAAGGGCATCTTGAGCAGACCACATCGACAAAGCACTGTCTCCACTGGATACAGAGAGGCCAGTGGCCGCTTACGCAAGGTACAGTGCTCGCGGGCCACTCAGACTGTCCAAGAGCAGTTACCGAACCTTCTGCAACTAGCCAGCTAAAAGTGGGGTCCTCACCCCAGCAAGTGCATGCAGCCCTTTTGTGACCAACTTGATCTCTGCCTTGCTGGCACGGCACCAAAGGGAGGGTCCCAAAGGCTCAGGACCCATTTCCAGTGCCTGCCTTCTACCAATCAGCAGACAGCAGCACCCTCCCCTGAGATGGGTGTGAGGGGCAGGAATCAGGAAGCAGAAGTGTTCACAGGGAATGAGATGCTCCCAGGACCCAGGTGTGGCCCCATTTCCAATGCAATGACACGGACTCATGGTGCCCCCATGTGGGTCAGAGTAGAACTGTGATCCAAAAGGTGGTCAGTGCTAACTTTTCTGAAATCGGTTGCCAGGCCTTTCTCGGGTGGTGCCTCTGGATAAATGAATCTCAAGCCTTGCCGTTAGCAGCTGGGCAAGTTCATGGTTTGCACCACCCAGGGATGCATGGCGGCCCAGGGGATCAGAGGGTGATCCCCATCAGGTCAGCAGTTCCAAACCAGCAGCTGCTCCACGGGAGAGAGACACAGCTTTCCACTCCCATACAGAGTAGAAACTATCTTAGAAATGGATATGTGCAGTTCTCTGTCCTACAGGCTCGCTGTGCATCACAGTGGACCCAATGGCAGTGAGTTGGGTTTGGGACGTGGAACCCTGGGGCTGTGTGAGCCCTCTAGTGGCCCAAGAGTATCCCAGGGACAGTGGACAAGACCTGAGTTCTGGGACCGTTTCAGAGCAGAGGAATCCAAGCCTGGAGGCAGGGACAGGACGCTGTGGTGCTAGGGGCTGCCGGGTGGGGCCGTGCTGTGGTGGCCTCACCAGGGGCCCAGCTCCAAGCAGACAGACAGTTGGCCTGGGAGCCAGTCTCTGGCTGCGCTTGAAGGGTGGGGTGATGGATGTGTGCGTGTGCAGGTTCCCCCTCTGCGGTCCCAGCCCCGTGAC